TGGTAGAAGTTTCCAAAGTGAAATTATTTTCACAAACTACAGCTTTATTTGGCAAATTTGTCAGAACTTTGTCATCAAAGATAAAAATAAACTGAATCCAGGCACCTCTGTTCTCCATGGCTGCTGTAAAAACGTAATGTTATGCATACAACTACTGTTCCCTGAAGGAAAGGAACAAGGTACAACACATCATGTATGGGAAACCACGCCCCTCCGTGTCCTGGCTGAAGCCACCTCTAATCACGCCTTTAGACAGGTGACGTGTTGACGACAGATGTCAGGCTCCGCCTACACATATATATATACTGTCGCATCACAGTCACTCCTCAGTTCGGTAACTGCTCTTCACCGAGCCCAGCTGTGCAGCGGGGCCACCATATGTTGTACCTCGTTCCTTTCCTTCAGGGAACAGTAGTTATATGCATAACATTACGTTCCCTTTCAGTCAATTCACTCGGTACAACACATGATGTATGGGACATACTGTATATAACCGCCCTGCGGAGCAGCACCAAACTTGGATCATAATAACATGCTAGTGCAGCACTTCAGATCCAGCGGAGAGCACAGAGTGAGCCACCGAAGGGGCTGTCACATCTAAGCGATAAAATTGAACAAATGTGTGTGGTGAAGACCAGAGACTAAATATTTTGATCAGGAGAATATGTGCAGGCGGAGMCTGACATCTGTCGTCATCACGTCACCTGCCTAAAGGCGTGATTAGAGGTGGCTTCAGCCAGGACACGCAGGGGCGTGGTTTCCCATACATGATGTGTTGTACCGAGTGAATTGACTGAAAGGGAACAGAACAACTATCGTCTTTTGAGGAAGTGGGCGGAGCTTCACCTCGGGTTGCCTGTGAGGAGCAAGACTCTGGTTTAGGTTGCTAGGAGACTGTAATTGTGACGTCAGAATAACGTGCTTTGAAAAAAACCATGTTTCCAGATACCTAAAAATACATGTAATTACAGCTAAAAAAAAATGGCTGGGTGAATTTTTTTTGGTGTTTGGACTGCTTCTGTAAGCAGTAGAGACCCAAAAGTAAGTTTAAAAA